CGTACTGGTTGCAGGTAGCATCTGATGTCTGTGTGCCAGGTGAAGGAAGGAATCTAAGGAAGCTATTGTTGGTTCCAATCAGGGCCAATAAATAACAAAGCGAGTATCGTCAGCATCGGGTGCCCAAGGGAGCGCACGAGGTTGTTGTTGATGCTTTTGATGTTGTAAGTCTGAGCCGGTGAACGAGCATCGTGAGCATCATTGGGGGCCCATGCGGAGAAGCTAGGCGACCATCATGGGTGTTGGTTGTTCCAATCAAAGCCATCGTCGGAATCATTGGGTGCCCAATCGGAACATCATTGGGGGAATTACCGTTGTTGTTCATGCTTTCGAGCCGATAAACGAGCATCGGGGGGGGCCCACACGGGACGGGGACGCCAAGCGCATCATGAGCATCACTGGGGTCCAATCGGAGCCGGCAGGCGAGCATCATGAGCATCATTGGGGGCTCGTTTTCTTTTCCATTTAAGGCCGGTCTGAAACACTACTTTCGGGAATTTTCGGACGGCAACAGGAGCCCAAAAATGCGCTGCCACAAGCGACCAAAAATCACTAGCTCCAAACTCGACCCGATTTGTCCTGGCGGCCCAGACCCCCCAAGCCTTCTGGCAGCACAGGTTCTGGATCTAAAAACGAAAGACTCCCCGCAGAGAGCTTTCGTGATGACGATTCGTAACGCTGAATCAAGAACCTGCCACCCCGGTCAAAAGGCAAGCAAATCTGGTCCGACAGCCTCAAAGAGATTGGCTGAGCGGCCCTCCTCGAATGCGCCGGTGAGCGCCTCGAACCTGGGCTTCTGGACTCGCCTAGCGGCCTAAGATGCCTAAGACTAAGCTCTCTTGCCAAGGACGTCGAGTCTTCACCCTTCGAGTGCCAAGGCTCTCTGACAAGAAGTCAGGCGAGCGCTTGTCGGGAGGTGTAGCCTGAGAGTGTGCTTCTGGCAAGCTGTGGCTCGCCCCACTGCGCACCGCAACTAGCCTTTGTTGGCTCCTCGATGGTCTTCCCGGGCAAACCCTGTAGACGATAATTCAGATCCTCAGTTGCTCCAGTCTGTTCCAGACTCGTCGTGTCAGCGATGAGCCAAGTGACGCCCAAGACGATGAAAAGCGAGTGCTGGCTGTCCTCAACACATTTGCCGATCTGCGCCTGAGAGGCATCACCGCATAGCTGCTATGCCCATGCCATCCCATGCCTCTCTACAGGCCTCTCTCAGCTCTGGCCATCTGAGGTTCCGGCAAACGTCGCATCTCGGACCTGCACCACGATTCTGAGGGGAAGGGCTCCAGGTTGGACGTGCTGAGTCGGACTCTTGCTTGCACTCTTGCGAAGACACGAGGTCAGTCCCTCCTTGAAGATCTCTTGCTGGAAGCTTCTTCACCCCTACGGCTCTCCGCCGGCGCCGTCACGAGAATCAGCACACTTCCGGGCCTCGGTCTTGCCGTGGCCAGCCTGGCAAAGAAATTGCACGAGAACGACAAAGCAGAAGGGGGTGACAGCTTTCTTACCAACTACTGAGAGGCTCAACCCAAGCTCTCTTCGCAGAATCGGCGGAAGGGTGCTAGGCGGCCTCCAAGTGCGCGTTGGCAATGCAGAGGCTGATGCCCTGCCTGCACTCGGATCGACTGCCACTGGCCCTGAGCCAACTCCCAGTCTCCGCCTCGGGCACTCCACAGCGATGCAGCCTTTGGAGCAGACCTGGCTCAGCGAAGAGCCATCAGATGATTCTGAGCCATGCCATGCCATGCCTTTTTGTCATCGAAAGTGAAGGGCAATGACAGAACCTGCGGAAGCGGAAGAGAGGCGAAGAGAGCAGAACCAGAGCAAAAAACACCAGAGCCGGCAGCGCCTGGTTGCTCTGCGGAGAGCGCTCGAAGACGAGCAGCGGCAGGTAAGAGTCGCAATGCACCGAGGCCAGGACCTGCCCGGAGCTCAGGGAGCTCTCAGGGGCAAATGTGGCAAATTTGCTCTCGTTCGACATTTTGCCTCCAAAGGTGCTTCTTCGTCATCCTTTTCACGGAGCACCTGTGCCGATCTGACTTCGCGCGTTCGGAAAAGCTTGGATCCAACTAGGGCCGGTGGGGAGGCAGGTCCACACGGAGTGTTGTTCTGGCGCCTGACGAGCACGTGCACGCCAAGATCTCGTGGAAGCCATCAGCAGAATTTCGGAATAAGCTACGACCGGAAACAGCATCATGACTGATGCTGCCACTGCCGATGTCACTGCCGATGTCTCGCAGTAACGCGGAGGCTAGATTGGGCTAGATACTTCGAGCATCGCGGTCGCCGTGCTGGTTGCTGCTTGTGAAATACAAATATACACATGTACATACATCTGTACATCCATTTTTAGATAGATGTATATGCATACGTATAATTTGTAAATGTATATGTATCACCGGATACTGTTTATGTACGCATGCACATGTACGTTCCTGTTGTATGTTGCGCCATGCGGGATATCGTTGCGGCCCAGGGCGCAGCAAGCCGCGGATTAGTGCCGGTAGCTATGCATCTTGCAGTACGCAGCTATTGGAAGCGTTCGGTTCATGATCTGATTTCAACCGGTCTGCAAGTATCTCTCCACCCCCGTCACCTCGAGAACTCGGTCCCGGAGTGGCGCCAGATGATCCGGATGTAACTCCTGGACATCGAAGATTCGAGTAGAAGAGTGATCAGTACTCGCTCAACATGATGGGGGACATCTCCAAAGTACCAACACAAGAGCTGTTAGAGTCCTGGAGGGTACATGTATGATCGAACCGAACCATCTACTGGATCAGCATTCTGATTGGCATACCAGCAACTAGCAACCATTGAAGGATCTGAGACAACGAAATGACTCCAACTGCTGTCCAGGCATGAAGGCTGTCTGTCTCTTGCTTGCTCGCTTGCCTGCTTGCTCGGAAATCCTGTAATCTGCATCCCTCGAAACTAGATTCCACACCCACGGGGTGTAAGCCGAGACGGTGCTTGCTTGCTCGCTTGCCTGCTTGCGTTCTTGCTCGGGGTCCCCAAGCGGACTCTTCTCATGTGCTCCGACAGCCGTGCTCTCCATGCCCTGCATGTTGGAGTGGAGGCTGCGGTTTTCTGCTGGATTACCGTTCTCCCGCACGAGCCATACAGCCTAAAACCCTAATCCAACGCGATCGAACCTGCTTCTCTTGCTCTTCTCTTTGGGGGGCAAGTCAGACCTCCACTAGGCACACCCACGTGTTGCTAGAGGCTACCTGTGGGCCTCTAGGCTCCTCTTCTTCAGCACAGCTTGGGGGTAATCAGTGCGCATGCCTCAGCATTTCTCGCACTCGAGACAAACACCCTCCTATCTAAAACTCACCCGCAGCCTGCGCACGCAAAGGCTTCAGCCGCGCTCTGATCAACTGGAAGAGCACACTAGCGTCTCTCTCTCTCTCCCTCCTGCTTGTGCCGGACACCCTGTCAAGGCCGTCCTGAAGCCCCAGAGCCACCAAAGATGCCCGTGTCCCACGGCAAAGATCGGCAAGCCAGCGGAAGGCATCTCACAGAACGGAAGAGGAGATGTAGGAGACGTAACGTAGAGGCTTCAGGAAATTTCTGACAAGGATTTGCCCAGCTTCCACAAAGAAAAGGCCCCCCGGGCTTCGCCTGCACCCGGCAAAGCAGCGGTCTGCTTTTTGCAGCCCAGGTTCCTGGAACGTCCAACTTCGGTCTGAACATATTTATGTGCCAGGGGTCACTAGCGACATGTCAGTGGCTGTTGAGTGTGTCCGACTCCTCTGAGCATGCTGCAGTGCCGACTACTTGATCTGCCCACACCGCGGATCGTAAAGAGTCCGTGTCTTACGTGGCAACGAGGTGGGTGGGGGACCGCCATCGGGCAGACTGCAGCTCAAGGAAGCATTAAGCGACAATCCAGCTTGCTTCAGATCATGTATGATCATTTCCACGGCACCAGGTGCAGGCGACGATCGTGACGGAAGCCATCGCTCAAAAAAGCAACATGCTTTTCGGCCAGCCCTCGTGTTGTACATGGCACATAGGCCAGTCTCCCAGACCACTGAGGAGTTTGATGTTGTCTGACTGGTGCTTAAAATGCGTCTGTCAACATCCTGAATCCCATATATGTTCTGGCCCAGCAGCGAAGTGAGCTCTCTCTAACCGAACACAACACTTTCAGAGCCGCTGCTGCACAGCATGGCAGTGCAGTGTGCCCTTCAGTCACCAATGCACTCGTCCCACACTTGCGAATCAACAGCATTGAGCACGGACATGCGCATAGCTTTTGGTGGTGAAGGCAGCCTGATCCTAAAAATGTGTCTGGCACATGGTTTCATGTCCAGATGTGGCCACGGTGACCAGCGTTACAGCTGCGGCTGGCTATGGAAGGGCAAAGCTCAAAAATGTCTCAACGGTAATCGACGGATTACTGGCATGCAGGGCCATTCGCAACTGCTGGCTGACCAACGGTCCCTGAATCGGATTCAGGCAGAGGCTGGGGCTGAGCGGCTGAAAAGATGAAAAAATCCTACAAAATCATGCTGAACCGTAGAACCCTGTGCCTGGCCGGGCCCCAACCCCGTTGGGCTCTCTTGAGAGCCGCCGAACGCCGCCAGGCGTCCTAGCGCCCTCGAACACGCGGGGCCGCCGAGGACCTTCTTCTGGGCTCTGCATTTCGTCTTCGTACGCCTGGCTTTAGGGTTTAGGGTTTAGGGTCAGTTTGGGCGTTGAGCATGTTTGCTTCTGGGGCCAGCTGGTTGCCGACTGTTCAGCTCACTTTGGAGCCATGACAACACGCAAATCTTCGCATGGTGTCACGATCAGACCCTTGGCCTGCAGGTGGCACCACGATGACAGGTTCCGATTTTCGCTCGGAAACTAAAATGGGCCGATCTCAGCTTCAGGAGACGACCCGACCACGGTGGCCAAGGGTGCGCATGAAGTTCGTTTGTCTTACCCAGAGCCCGTACATTCCCTTTTTGCATGCGGACCGCATGGCACGTAATTGAAGCCTTTGGCAGCTTCTTTCTGGAAGGGACTACAGTAAGATCGCTTCTTGCGATCTCCTGGTGTGAGCTCACTTTGCCCCAAGGCTTGTTTGTCCTGAGAGGACGAGTGGTCTTGAGGCACTACCATGCAGCCACCGCAGAGGGTGCGGGTGGTCAATTGTAGGGCCTCCAGTCTACATTACCAAACCAGGAAATGAAGACTGTATAACCGTTCGGTGCCGCTTCTTGCTGGGCCGCAGGTAAGCGTGTCGGCTCTTGCTGGAAAGCCTAGAATAGCAAGCACAGCGTGCTTTGCATGTCTGTCTTGCTTGCTTTGGAGGGGTGGGCCCCCAGGCTGTGATGGAAAGACTTGCCTCGCTGCACCTCCGGCAGTGGCTAGCAGTTTGAAAGCAGTGGGCGAAGTGAAATTGAAGATTATGTCAAGAAGCCGTGAGCAAGAACTTTTCTGTTATGAGTATCGCAGAAACATGTGATGAAAGCAGAGCCAACATCTCAGGTAGTTCAGCTAGCCTCTGCGAATCTCTGCGACCGTCCAGAATCCAGGATTTTATGTCGAGCGAACGCCGTGGCTGTCCAAGTTGCGATCCATGGGTTGATTCGACCTCATTTTCTTTGCCTCGGTGCTGTCGGGTAAAGGCCCGGGTGCATGATAGTCATTGATGTCAGCGGCATCATCACGAAGAACCATTGGCAGGCTGAGCAAAGTAAGGCCACAGCCGTAACAGTTCTTCGTCCACGACCCGGGCTTTGAGACTGCTGGTTGCGATCCTGGAACAAGCTGGTGCAGAATGGGTCTACCAAGTCACTCTGGCCGCATCAAGCCTATCAAGCTATGCATCCACTAGCTCGCCTTGACTTCGAACGGCACACAACACAATGCCAAAGAGCAATCGATGTGCTGTGACAGTGCCGTGGCACCATATTATGCCTTCTCTGCTGCAAGGGTCTTCAACCCACGACCCCGTGAACTAAGTCAGGGCCGAATCACGAAGTTTGCATGCCCTTTGCGGCGTTCCAGCTTCGATCGTCGCAGCCTGCTGAATCGCAGGTGCGAAAGCTTCGAAAAGTCGAAAAGCTCGCGGCTCTGAGGCCGAAACCCCTGCAGCTCGATCTCGAAGACCAGGACCACGTCCCTCCCTGTCAGAGCGGAGACAGTGGAGCGGAGCTCCGAAAACGAAAAGAGTCGGCCTCGGGTCCCCGGTCCCTCGAGAGGTAGGCGAACCTGCAAGCCCCGGGGCTTCAGAGGCACAGCCAAGGCCGCTTCAAAGCAATCATGCGCCAGAGCTCTACTCCAACTTCCAAGGTCGGACGCTGCCTGAAGGATGTTGTCGTCTTGGTTTTCGACCTGTCGCAACAGGGCACATGTGGTACGAGATTGCGCCCCAGAGCAGCTGCAGTCGGAAGGAGGAGGAGCCAGCACGTCACAGCCCGATTGGACTGCAGGGAAGCAGGCCCTGTGGGTAGGTCCAGCGAGTGGAATGCCGATTCATGCCGATTCTGACAAGGACAGGAATACGCGAAGAACCCCAACAAGGTCTGCCATGATGGTAAGCTCTACTACCCCTTCCTGGATGGAACTAAGCCCGGGGTCCAATTCGGGTCAGTTTGCATGATCGAGCACGACCTGGTTGTGACGTTCACCGGTTGGGCATTCAGGGCAGATGCGATGGTGCGGAAGGACCTGGTTTTCGATCCATAACCGATAACCCTGCCACCTCCTGCAAGTCAACGCTCACCTTGCCTCAGCCGTGGCAAACTGCATCTACTTTTACCTACTACATCGCTACGCTTCTTGAAGATGCTGGAGCAGTGTTTCTTAAACAACCGACCGCTGCCCAGCCGCATCACGGAAAAAGCCTGCCTTTGATGCTGATGCAAGCTAAGGCACCGAGGGAAGTTTTATCCTCTTTGGAGACCTCGACGCTGACGGTACCGCCTTCGCCAAACAGTTCAAAACTTGTGCAACGATGTGAAGGTGAAACGGCAAGTTTTCTTTATGTCCTCTGCTGTTGTATCTCCCTCTTCCTCTCTTCCTCCCCTCTAATGTTGCATCGATGCTTGGTTGCTTGGTTGCACTCGACTACATCGCCGGGCGTGCCTGGATACTCGAGCAGCCTGTGGAAAGCCTGATACCAAACCTGTGGCCAGTGGGGACAGCTTCGACTTCGCTTTAAAAGAACGCGGTTCCTCGCACCCTGCAGAATGAATATATATATATATATATACTATAATAATATATACGTATAATAGGGGCTCCCACCACTTGCAGGCTTCTCTGCATCTCCACGAGCAGCTTGACCTGACCCTCCGGGAGACCTCGCGACGATTTCAGCCGGATCTGCGCGGTGGAATTCACCCATCATGGTCTGATGAAGCGAAGAGCCTGCGATCTTGGCGATCTCATCGTAAGGCATCTTCTTCTCCTCGGAATCGACTTCGTCTACATGCGAACTCAATGCAGTCTCTCAGCAAGTTCACAGAAGTCCGCAGGAATCTTTACAAGTATTGAAAACCTGCACTTGGACACCGACAACGGCCAAGCGCTCGATCATCAGCTGAGAGTGTGTGCTGACATTGTGGAGGAAGCTGCCTCTCAAAGAAACAGATACAAAGCAAACCTTCAGGCCCTTCAGGCACCACGAGCCCGGAGTTTGGTGATATCACTACCACTGCTAAACCCTAAACCGCCTAAGCCCTAAGTGCCTAAACCCGAAACCCCAAACCGCCCAAACCCTAAACCCCGAAGCCCCAAAAAACCCGAAACCCTGAACCCTGTATACTAACCCCCCAACCCTGTAAACCCTAAGCCCCAAACCCTAAACCCCCTAAACCTGACTAAACCCTAAACCCTAAACCCTAAACCCTAAACCCCCTAAACCTGACTTGCCCCAAAACCTCAGCCGCCCTATGTGCCTTTCGGATTGGTCTGGGAGGCGCCCCAGGCTCGGGCCTGGACCAGAGACAGGGTTTAGGGTTTAGGGTTTAGGGTTTAGGGTTTAGGGTTTAATTCTTTTTAAATCGGTTTTCCATGTCTGTCTGCACACAAAAAACGGGATGGAGCCACCACCTCTCATAACCCGGACGAGTAGATAGACATCACACAACACAATTAATATACATATATGTTTGTGTATATATATATATGTATATATACATACGTGTGTAGTATATTATATATATCTCTCTCTCATCTGATATATAATGTATATGGGACTTCGATACAGCCGCCTTCTTTGTCTTCATGGGCGGATGCTTCAGCGTGCCACCCGATGGACTGGACCACCTCGTTTCGTTGTGCTCAGATTGAGCCCATGCACGACCGCCACCCTGCTGAACTTGCACCTGCACCATTCCTTGCACAAAACGATCCCCAGCGCGCTGCCATATGATGGCTTGGTAAGCCCCAGACAGGTTCAATGTCTCCAGGCCCTTTTTCCAAAGTCCACCCTTGGAACAAGTTTAGACTGAGGGTTTTCCCGAAAAAAGGAACTGCGGCACCACAACGGTGCCACCAAGTCACCTTCTTCTCCTGACACGCATGCTTTTTCGTGATCTCTTCACAGCGTCAACATGGTCGATATGCTATATCTCTGTCCAGGAAACGCATGCCTTCGCTGCGCATGACTGTTGCTTGACTGCCTATCTTTCCAGCCGGCGCAAGGCAGGGTCAGGCCAGGAATGAAGGCTTTGACGTAGGACATCGCAGCTTTTGCAGGGGTTACACTTCCAGGCCAAGTAACTGAAAGAAACAAGACAAGCGATCACCGCAGTAGAGGTGTCACAGCAAAGTCTCCCAGAGCCCAATGTCGAGCTACTGAGCATGCCCTTACGGGTTCACACATAGAGACATTGAACTTCGCAGCCCTCTATCTATGGTCCTTGAAGCTGTTCAATGCATGGTGCAAGAAGCAAACCATCATTGCAAGCGGACATCAGCTTGCGCAGATCAGCAGAGCTCGAACGGCCCCCAAATGAACGCTTCCCTTCCGGCTTCTCTGGGCGCAGATCGGGCCTTGTTAAAGAAGTTTTTGGGCGGCTTTCCAGCATCTATGGTCACGGACCTTGGGCTTGACAAGGTGAGTCCATATCATGGACTGGTGTCTTCCTCATCGAAGGCAAGTGCAGCGCCTAAACTTTGACAGGCGGCGCGGTGGTGTACATGACTTCCTCCACAAACTCGTCTGGTGCCTCCAGCCCCATGAGCCTCAAGTACTGGCGCCAAGCACAGAAGCAGTGAGCGACTTGACTCCAGCGCTGTTCTGCCGAGCTATCAGTTCCAACAAGCTACGACGGTTTGGGATGGCCGACTCGATTTCTTCAGAAATACTGCTTTTCGTGGAAACCATGCTTTCCAGTCAAGCAGCTTCACGGAAACAAGGCGCAACAACCTGGTGTAGTCCACCGACAACCTCCGTGGTCCACCTTTCCTGGATGGTGTCTCGGTTGCTTCAGCAAAGTGATTCTCAGCACAGCCCTATCACGACGATCAACACTCTACCCGTGGATTGTAGCTCCTCTTCGGAGGATACTCAAACCGTTGTCCTTACCACATGACTCTGCTTGCCGAAAAATCGGCTCATGCTCTGGCCCTGCAGGAATTGCATCGACGATCCCCACGTCTGAGGTGAGCTTGGCCACCTCAAGGAACTCCTCAGGGCGATGCACAATCATTAACAAGAAAAATCTTGTCCCCTGCTGAGGCATCTTTTTCTGCTCCGAGACAGGGCTGGTCACAGGCTCTCACGAGTTGGAAGGATTTCCGCGCCATTCGCGCACTGGAACAAGCACACTGCGGATTCGCACGCCGCCTGGGGCTCACTAGTCACGAATCACTGTGCTGTACCTGCACGACCTCAATTGGAAACCGGGAGCTTCAAGAGGACTGGCGTTTTGAAGCAGCCAGAACTACTGCCGGGACACCGAACATCCGAGAAAAGCACTAAAGCCGAAATCTTCAAACCCTAAACTTGCCTAAACACTACAACCCTAAAATACCCTAAAGCCCCAGGCCTTAAACACTAACTCGTCTATGCTCGCCTGGCGGTAAGCCAAAGCCTGAAACCCTAAATCGCGACATCCCAAACCCGACGCCCTACGGGTAAACTGCGAAACCTGCACCCCTCAAACCCTGACCCCACCCTCAAGTCGATTGCTTGAATCGTGGGTGCTTTTATCGTGCGTGCCTGAATCGGGGGATTGGTGCTTGAACGGGCTGGCAGGCTTGAATGGCCAGAGCTTTTATCGCATGCTCGAGTTGGGGCCAGCGCTGGAGTCGCGCGTTGAAACGCGAAGGGCTGGAGGGTTTGCTGGTGGTGCGGCCAGGAGTCTGTGGAGAGCAGCACTTCCATCTTCCTCGGCACTACAAAGCTACTTCCCAAAACGGCAAGCACCTTTGCAGCATCAACAGAACACACTGCCGCACGAAATGCTGTCTTTCGTTTGTGGGATCTAACGCTAGCCCGAGATCCATGACTCCTGACTCCACCAAGGGGCTTGCTCGGGTCCGGCATGGCCTTCGCCGCATCTGGTGTGAGCACCATTCCCAGCCAGTCCTTGCCTGTCAATGCCCGATCCTTCCCTCATCCCCGGAAGAATCTGTTTACTGCCTGCAGATTTCCTTCGTGACGATGTGACTTACTTGCTGCACAAGCCTTCCACCATCTCATGGATTGTCTGGACCTCAGCCAGCAGCCAAGTACCCGCTATTACCATCTATTACCGCTATCCTCTCAGCAGCAGGCATCCCTCGCCGCCTTGAGCTCAGGCCCCGGCAGTGCCGGAGAACTGCCCCAACAGGTCTCTGCGATCCCCGAGATCTACATCTGACACGTCCTTGCAATGCTTGTTGCGGATTGAAGAGCTGCAGTCACACGGTGTTAGGTTGAGGCGAAGCAAATCTCAGCGGTCTAAGAGTATCGTTCAGTAGGATGGTTCGTCGCCACGTGGCTGCCTGCTTTGCCGCAAACAAGTCATAGTAACAGTCATAATTAACAACTCGACTCAAAGCAACTTCTGCAGCTGACCACCTGACCAGCTGGCATGCTGCGGCCGAGGCACGATGTGAAGTTGTTGGTTGTGGTGAAACAATGGCCTTGCTCTAAACGAACCGATTTCGAACGCCTACGAACTCTTCGCTGCGTGCGACACGGTACAAGAGCATGAAGTCTTAGCAGTTATGGCAGCTATGGCAGGTCAAGCCAGGTGGCAAAAATCCGCTTTCTGGAGGATCCCACTTTGGATTGCTGGTGTTTGTGTGATACCTCAATCACACGGCTGCGTGAACACTCCTTCTCACACTCAGTTCGCCGAGGACATGTCAATGTGCGATCTACCATGAAAGTCGTCGACACAACCCCACTTGTCCCACTTCTTCAGCGTAGCCTGTACCTTCACCTCTGAAGCCATGAACACTCAATACCTGCCAGTTCCTAACCCGACACCAGACGCAAAGCTTGGAAGGGAGTTCATGGCTTGAGACTGCCGGTACTGCCATGAGCACAGCACCGAGTATGCTTGCTGAGGTAACAAACAGCACGCGACTTCACAATGGACCAACGCTCCTGTTCATCCAGAAGCAGCTCGAGTCAAAAAGCTTGAGTCCACGAAGGGGCATCCCCCTCACCTTGGCCCTTTTTGTCTCAGTATCAGCTTGCTTCTGCTCCAGCTTTTGCCGAGTTGCGAGGTGGTAAACGTGGTGCCACCGAGCTGAATCTGAACCGACGGGTCCTTGGGGCAACTATCCATGATGCGTCCTGGCTGTGTGTAAGCTGCAGCTGGAGATACGAAAAGGTTCCAAGAGCGCTGCGCTAGTCTCTTTGCTGAACAAGGAGAAGTCACCGCCTCAGCTATCAAGCTTCAAAGATCGAGCTGGCTTGACGGCGCCAAGATTCATCCAAGCCACCAAAAACGCCTCGAGCCTCGTGAACTGTGGCCACAACGTAGCCGAAGGGCGCAGGCGTGGCAATCCTTTGGTCGGTCCAGGGTGGCCGAATATGGCAGACAGTTGGAAACCTGTTGATCAACCGCCTTCTTTGTGACAGGTGGCGGCATCAGATTCGAGGGTGGAATCGGCGAAACGGGAACGTAAATTCCACCTGCAATGCAGGACTCGCATGACCCGTGTTCGGAAGTACGATGTCAGCGCTTTTTGAAAGGCTGCGGATTTCGATGCCTCTGAACTCTACTACTGGGTTACTACCACAGGCTGCCACCGTTCGGGACTGGGTGTGCGGTGCAACAGGAGCTGCGAGAGCGTGCACTGGCCAGTCGACGGTCATCGTCAGTTTGATTTCGTCTCTACATCGCAGGACGCGCCTGGCACGACAAAGGATTGGAGGACCTTCTCGGCGCAGTTTTGGACTGCCTGTACCAAGATCGGCCCCAGGAGCTTGCCGGCCTGATACTCACTGGCGATTCAAAACCATCGACATGACATGAGTTGACCCCGGTACTTGCATGGCGAAGAGGGAGAGGGCCGAGGCGGGAGCAGAGCGCATGCCGAAGAACTCGAAGTGGAGGTCAGGTAAATCCAGGAAGTACATCTTGCCTCTCAACTTGTTTGAGTGTTTCGGGCACATGGGCGGAGTTCCCCTGGCGCCTCCTGCAAAAATTGGAACGGCGTCTATCAGGGGCGAGAGGAGCACGCAGGCGTTCCCCGAAAGCGAGAACTTAGCCAAGCCGACCTCGGGGGGGGGGCCGAGGGCCAGGGCGGCTACAGCCGGGGACTCGAGGTTCCCTTGCTTTGACTAAGCTGCCGAGGTGTTGATCGGGAGACCGCTGACTCGACCGGAGATGGAAAGCCTCGGTCACGGGCGCGTAGAGCCAAGTGAAACACTGCAAACCTTCATGGCAGTCATCGGAGTTCAGCTTTGGCACGTGAAATGGAAGTCCTCCGCAGAGGCCATGTCCAAATGAGCCTGTGGAATGATGCGCAGACTCCTCCCAAAGAAGCCCTCCCTGGAAATGTACCTGTCGTTTGTGAAGCCTCGCTTCTGTGTTCAACTCTTAAAGCACATGTTGCTGTATGAGGGAGCACACGTACTGATTTGGCGACCAAGACATGCAGCCCGCTCATGCTAAAGCCAAAGCCGGGTTCTGCCAAGACACAAGAAGCTCAACACCTGCCAGCTTCCAGAAAATGCATTTTTTGAACTTTGGTTTTGGGCCACTCTAAAGCAGCCCGCCTTCCTGCATGCCCCGCCCGGTGTGTGTTGCAACGATATTCTTCAGATGAGGCGGCTGTGAACCTGCACGCCGCTCAAGATTTCATTCTGTCAGCTGAACTTTAGTTCAAGGGGGGCTTCATGGAAGTGCGCTGAATCTGCACAGCAGGCTGACAACATGAGACCGGGATGTGCCTATATCAAACTCCGTCTGAACTTCAATGTCGATATTGAAGCCTGGGCCATGAATCAGCACGAGTGTTTCGCGACCCCAACTTCACACGAGATGTCCCAAACACTCCCATTGAAAGACAGCGGCTTCTCCGTCGGTGCCGGCCCAAACTTGTGAAGACAGGGCAGTCGAGAAGAGCAGGACTTCTTGCATAGCAAGCACCCACGACAAATTGCATGCATCTTAGTGGGTTCGTTGATCGACGATTTGCCCAAGGAGCCCAAGGTATTCCGAGCTCGGATCTGCGACGTCACTTCAGCAGCAACCTCGATCGGAACGCACCTTCCCTCGCTGACTAAACTCACTGGACCACACTATCACTGTGAATGGCTTGGTGGCTGCAGAACTCGAGACCACCAATGCTCGGACAATCCGGGCACCTGAACTTGCGGCCAAGGATCGATGTTCTTGACAAGTGCGCTGGCGGCCGTCCGAAAGTGAGGCCACGTTGTTTCAAGAATGTAATTGACCCAACCTCTGCTGTAGGCAAGCACAACAACTCTCTTTCTGGGCGCTGTCCGGACCAAGCAGGATCTATAGCTAGCTCAGGCTTCAAGCCTTCTTGCAGCCCTGTGTTGTATACTCGCAACTGATCTCGTCAGAATGTTGCCGACTGCTGATGGCTGATGAGTACTTCGCATGCCAAGCTGCCAAGGCTATCATGCTGATCGGTGTGCGCGCTGTCTGAACGAGCCTGCAAGCTACAGGCTGCAAAGTCATGCGGCTGCCCTTTGCTATGCTTCGGCGCTGTGCAGATCTTCGTGACAACATGCAAACATGTTTGACAACGAAACGTCACTAAGCAAACAACCTGTCCTAAGTCTTTTTGCATGGCTAAGGCACGTATCTGTAGGGAGATATCACTGACACACCAAGCGTCCCCAAGGTGTCGCTGCCTGGGCACATTTACGATTGATTCACTGTTGCTGCCTTCAGACTGGACATACCAGCCCCTCCAGCCAGAATGATAGAGTACTCAGGCTATGCAGTAGCAACGAGGGTCCTATCAGGCACACTGTTGCAGCATCCCTCCCCCTCAAGCGTACCAGCGACAGTCCTGAATGGAGGCGGGCATGCTTGTGGAATCTAAAGCTGTCGATGATGTGCGGTGGCAACCAAGTGGCTTATGCCACTGAAGAGAGGCCCTCTCATCTCCTGGCGCATCACTGAATCGCGAATTTAGCCTTTCCTGTTGGTGCAGCAAACAAAAAAAACTATTTGCCCCCTGCCCCAACCAGGAACCAGGAGGGAAGCTTGAACATGCAGCTTGTCGCCGGAGGAAAGGGACGACTAGCATCGGCATCCGAGCCAACAAAATTCACAAGTCAGATGTGACCCCACTGCTCCCTTGACTTGAAAAGTGTCAAAGCCCGCTTTACCTACGAAGCCTGCACGCACGAACTCTGAACTGGAAGACTTCAATGCTGAACGTGCGCTGTAGCCCATCCTCCGTTCTGAGAACACTGAGGTCACATATCAATCAGCTCGCATGGCCCCGAAGCACAAAGAATGACTTGAGACACGAGTTACAGCTTGCCTCTGATGGCGGATCATCGGATTCCACTCGTTCCTGCGAAGCGATACTCGACAACCAACGGCGGTTATGTTGCAAGGTTTCGAAGTTGCTCTGTGCATGTCGTGCGCGTGCAAAGCCACACGCTGATGCGGCATGTTGTGCTGCTAGGGCACAATTCGAACTTCTTCTTCATTCTCAGCATAATTCGCTGATGGCTCTTCCGGGTAGATGATGCCTGAGCATGTTGCTCTTGGTACGTGGCGGTTCCAGCAATCTTGAGGGCTACCTGGCTCCGGCTTCGCTACACTTTTTCGCACAAAGCAAGTTCGCACATCACGACTATCATAGTGGTCACAGCGCTTCTGATTCTGCGTCGCTCCTTTTTGATTGTCTGCATACTGCCACGAACCAATAAGTTTGAGCTCGCATCGGCTTCTGCGAGCATGTGCATCGCCTTCCACCCACCCATGCATCAGTCCTGCTGCAGAACATGCCTGCTGCACGTACCGGAAGTTTCAGACACCTGCACTAGCAGACCGTGGCATCATAGAGAACGCAGTTAGGTCGATACTTGGCCACGTTCTCTGGGACTGGCACATGCCTGTCCTGGCCATCCAAGCCAAAGACTGCACGATATTCGACCTCTAAAGCCTTTGTGAAGGGATCCGTCGCTGGATCCGTAGTGTCAGGGGACTTGTAGTCCTGCCCCTTGGCCAACATCTCGCGAAGGCGCAGCAAGTCCAGGCCACAAAGCGAGCCTTCAGAAATGACGCGAATTCCACGAACCCAGCTGGAGTGCAAAGTTGAACCAGCTCCCGGAGCTTGCGTGCGCGAGCCGAGCACCAGCGAAGAGATGGGATCTGTGCGTGGGAGCAGCGCTAAAGATGTCAGGTCCCACAGCGTCACATCCGCAACGCACCCTTCTTCCAACTTCCCTCCGCTCTCCATCCCCACGCCCTTGTAGCCATTCCTGGCAGCCAAAGAAAGAGCCGTCTGCCTGGCCGTCGGCCAGTCTCTGTATTCGGGCGTGGTGACACAAGCCACAGTGCTTGCCAACTTCAGTGCTTCCAAGAGATCCTGGCCGTTGCTGCTGCAGGATCCATCACAGCCTACAGAGACGGAAACGCCTGCGTCCAGCGCTTTCTTCACGGGCATTACACCCGAGCCAAGAATCAAGTTGGATAGCGGGTTGTGAACACAGGTGGCACCAGCCTTTGCCATCATTGCCAGTTCGTAATCCTTCCAGAACAGCCATGCTCTAGAAGTGTCAAATTACCACGGAATTATCATGATTGCTTGCCTCGCAATGCTCCGCTTCACACACATGGTCCAAGAAAAGAAACATCAGCACCTCTGCCCCACAGATTGCTAAGGAAAAGGCTGTAACAGCATCCATCTTCACATTGCCCAGCCCTTGAGGATGCTTCGGGTGCTCCATCTCCCACCCAGCCTACGACCCAAGGTCCTCCAACCAGATGGTATGAGCGCAGCTCGTGCCAGGAAGCTGCAAAAAGCCCACGTCCAGCAGATGCTGCACCGCAGACCCTGAAGGGAACCATTGGCGCGCTTGCATGGCCTTCGGGTACACAAGTAAAGACTCGGGAGAGTTCTGACTGATTCCCACTCGCTCACGACTTATCACGTAATTGTATCATCTTGTATCATTCCATCCCGTCAGCCGGGCCTGGCCCCGTGTCTCAAGCCTGAGCAGATGCATTCGCGACACGAAACGGCAGTGCAGGAGGTGCAGCAGGGTGGCAGGTGAGTGTGGCCACAGAGACCGTACTTCTTCCGGAGCTCGACAGCACCCCTGAAAAGCTCCGTGCTCGCGGAGTAAGGAGTCACAGGCCCGATCACAATCTGTATGCCGTTTTCCTCGCAAGTGGCAAATTAAATGTTCGTGGGACGCCTACCTCGGTGCCTATTGCAACATCGCGTAAGAAAACTTGCTAAGTGCGCTTCGGGCGTCCGGATCGTGGAATCCTCAGCGCGGAAATTTCTGCCGTGCTTTATGAACGGAAAATGGCAAAGCCCTGAAATGTCAACAAGTGTCTCTTCACTGCTTCCTCCCAAAGCTGCAGCCTCGCCAAAGCAGATGCATCGCTGAACGGATTAGGTCATAAAGTCAGACGAACATCATACATGATGACACCAATTTAATCCTAGTTGCATCTTCTTGGTCTTTGCAGAATCTGAAGCAGCCGGCTGGGTTCGGAAGCTTCCATTTTTACCCAGTCCTTCTTATGGCTGTCACTTGGTATGCAATTTCTCAAACCGAACCTCATGATTGCGGGATCCAGTCCTAGCCGTGTCACGCACAAGTCACAACAAAAACCCCTGAAGTCACGCGACACTAGCGGCTGGCAGCAATCGCACGATCTCACTTGTCTCCACATTTTCCAGGGGCATCGCCGCCCGGCCGCCAGCATCCAGCAGCGGTCATGAGGACTCGCTGCTCACGCGCGGTGAGCTTAAGCCAGCGGATGAGCCACTTCGCACGACTCACAATTAATCCCAGCATTCTGTCAACGAAACGCAATTCGGATCCTACCCCACCGCACTTGAGACCTCCTGAAAACTTCCTCCATGCCATTGGCAAGCCGTGCTGCGTAATGGAAGATGATGATGAGCTTCTCAAAAGCTCCCTTTTGAACTCCCACGATCCACAACAAACCGTCAACGTATACCAACTGCATCCGACCCAGTTTGCCAAAAAGGAAGAAAGAACTTCGTCGCAGTCCCGCCATAAGCCGGCACCAATGATAAGCAGGCGCGTAAGCTGGCAAGGGAATCGGCCGAAATTTGCAAGTCTGGAAGAAGTGCTTGCCGATGCAACGGTGGCACACATGAGCGAAGCGGCAAGGATCGGTACGCGGCACGGCGATCAATGGCACTCGCTCAAAACACATGCAACGAACTGCTGTAAGAGATGCGACCAAGCCAAGAGCAGAAGTAGTGCGCACATGTCAAGTCAACAGCAACACAAAGGCGCTCGACACTCACGGATCCCACTTCATGCCCGACTGTGCACCCCGCAGGCCCAGTCCTCCACAACACTTGCACTTTGCGTTTCGGGCTGCCCCGTCTGGTACAAGTGGAATAAAGTTCTCCCAGAGCACCTGTCACCGGCACGCCCGGACGCATGCCGGAAGTCTCGAAACTTTCATCCAAAGCACATCAGCTGCCATTCAGCCAAAGCGCAGCGTCGTCTCCTAGCATTGGGGCCACAAACGCACGCATCCCCAGCGCCTGCACAAGCTGTTTGACAGCTGATCTGCCTTGTTTCAGGTTGTCCTGCCTACGTATGTCTTTCTGGCAGTACTGTACCTTGCTAGACCTGCCGGCTTCACCTTGGCCGGTTAGTCGACGGGAGCGATTGAGCAGGAAGCCTTGTAAGCCCGGACGACGGCATCCAGGTCGTCCAGGTGCCGGATGGCAATGTGATCCATGATTGCCTGTGACGTCAGAGCTGTCTAGAGAACCTGACTGCCCTCACGAGTGTGGCACAGACGTGCTCGTCAGGACAGTGAACACTCACATCTGCCGAGATGCTGTGCAGCCTGCCAGGGTGCTTCTTGAATTTTAGCAGTTTCTCAGGTACTTGTACCACATGACTGCAAGTTAACGTACTGCAAATACACACTGACGAATGTCCTAAAATGTCCTAAGCGAGTGGGCTCACAATGCAACTTCCACGACTGCCAGTATTGGCGGGTCAGAAAGCAAAATTAAACGGGAGTGCGTTCGATACTGTCCGTGTTCGAGACTCAATTTGCACGATGTTGCTGAGCGCCAATAGCAACGAACGACTGGCTCAACTGTGCATAAACTGTACCTCAGGTCTATTTTGAAGCGGTGATGCGCCTGACAGCATGGATTCGGCGCCGCAAAGCAGGGCCGACACGCCCAGGGCTTCGGCAGGTGTGCGATGGTGGCTCTCCTTTGCCAGAACTTCGCTAAGCCGCAGGGCCAGAATCCTTCCCGTGGCGCCCCACCTGCCTTGCCATACCAGCCTTCGTCTCCACGTGGCTCGTGGCGGTAGAGTTGCGCGACCCACAGCTCCAGTGGAAGGGGCTTGATGAGTCCGCGCGTCCAGTGCTCCGTGCTGTGCGTGTGCGCATTCCTTGGCCGGCTTGGTCGACACGCACTGATGGAATGTGCTGCAGGCTCGAAAAACCACCCGACGATACTTCCGTTCTTGGGAGCAGCACTACTTGCTACTTCACTTCTCGCTGTCTCAACGCCTCGTGGACTTCAGCTGCGCTGCCTGGTCCTTGCCCTCGCTGCCTTCCCCGCCCGCAGACGCGCACCCAACGTGCGCTGACATTTGCTGGCCCTCTGGCGACATGTCTTCGGAGCTTCAGGCACCAGCTGCAAGAAATGGGAAACGAAAACAGGTGCGGGAAAGCAGAGATGCCACCTTGAAATACCGCTTCTACTTCAGTCCCAAGCGTCACGAATCCTGGCAGAAGCAGCTTCTCGCTACAGTCAACGAAGACCTCCGCTGTCGATTCAGGTTCCGATTTCGCAGACGAAATCTTGGCGATCTTGCCGTCAGCCTCAGCGCAAAATGCTGCCGGCATTCACCCGATGGGGCCGATGTTCAGCCCAGGAGCTAGCAATACGTCTTTCCTCTCGTAGCCAGTGGTCGATGGCACCAGCGCATTGGAAAGCAACGTCCGCCTTGCTTCATGCATCGGCTGCTTGCACTTGCGCAGTGCTGCGACCCATGTCAGGATTTGTACAAGTAGGATGCTTTGAAGCAGCACTGCAAGACGGCAACTGTTCATGCGATTTCATGCGGGACTGCACGGGTACAAGCTCCCTACGTCGGATCCAACATACGCGACAGCCAAGCCACACGGGCACGGCGCCCAAAGGCAGTGCTGCCGAGGAGACGCTCAAGCTCTCTCGCACCTTCGGTTGGCGGAAGCTTTCTTTATCATCGTATGGTTTGAGCGGACAAGAGCCACAATTTTTCGGGTTTTCTTGAAGCTGGCCTGTTCCTCTGACAACTTCCTCTTCTGCCCCCGATCGTCCGCCATGGTGCGTTCTCTCCTTCTCTACTTCAATTAAAGAACCGTGTCAGAGTTAGCGCTGAGTCCGCAGAGTCTGAAGGGGAGGAGGCGAGTCTGGGCTTTGGACGTGGATGCGATCAATACACAACACAAGGGAGACGAACACAATTGCACGCCTGCTGTGATGTGCAGTTGGAACGCAAGTGCTCATTGGAGGGTAGGTTGCTTCTTGAACTCATATATTGCGGTTGGGGTCTTGAGCCCAGCTTGCGAGAATTGCAGATCCGCATGCCGCTGTCTGATCATGCCTACGGTCAACCTGGCACCCGGCCGATCTCGTCCGACAAGCCCACTATTTTGGAGTTCACCGCGTCCTGGCAGGCTGAGCTTAGTTGCGCAGCAGGGGCAGAGTGAGCTGGGAGGTGGCGTCGCGTCTGTGTCAGAATGAAACAACATCGTCGCGTCTCACTCCATCACCGACATGGGTAATTAAGCGACGCTATTGTTGGTGGTAGGCTCCTTTGGAGCACAGCTCGAGCAGCACCACATCCCTGGGCGGCCACGGCACGGGATCTCTGCTAGGCCTTCACGACCTGCCGCAGAGGCACAATGCGAAGCGAATCGGTCACAGCAGGTAGAAGTTGAGCTCCCACCTTCCTATGTGTTCGCATCGCAGCCATCAAAGATGCAACTTAGGCACAGAGGCTCGACACGAAGTGTCACACGCCGTGAGAAATAATAGGTATTACTGCGGTAGCTGGATTATGGGCTATCTATACTCTCGATGCCGAGACGTCCTATGAGTGCACGAGATTCCTTAATCTGAATAACTAACCCACAAAGGTCCAAGGCCAGCACCCACAGTGTTAGTTGGATCTGAGAGTTGCAAATCTTCGCTTGGTACGGCTGACTGAGACTAGGGATGACTGCTTCCAGGGTGCCGCGCCCTTGAGACCCTTCGGGGCCCGGGGCTTCTGCCTGGGAGCCTGGGACCGCACCTGCCTAGAGGCCTAGAGCCTTGGGCCAAAGCGGGCGCGACGAGCCGAGCTTGGAACTTTTTGTTCAGGGCAACTCGAGCAAAAAAGAGGTGAACTGGAAACTCCCTTCCTGCTTGTGCTGAGACGATTTTCTTCCGTGGTGGCTCGGCTCGGCTGGCGTTCTGAACTTAACGGTTTGCCTTTGCGACACGCTCGATCTCGTCCTTCTTCCTTTCAGGCTCGAGGCAGCAGCATGCAGAAGCAAGGTTGGGCCGTATCTATGTTTACATCCACACAAAGCGCAATGCATGAGAGGAAAATTAGCTGGGTCATATACATCGGGGCAGGGGCTGTAAAGCTCAACCAAGATTCTTGATGGCGTAGCTGTTGGAAGA